ATATATAGACTAATCATGAGACGCCTGGATGAGCATGCCCATTTTGATTCATGATTTAAGATTTTATCTGTGGCACCAAATTAAAAAAAAAAAGAGATTATTGATGGCTACAGGCAATTTTATTCACAAATCAAGTGTTAGAAGAGAGCAATAGAGGGGGGGAATTGGTTACTTTTTCTCACTTGATCTCACTTAAAAATTGCATCATTGCAGTAAAAAATATTTATATTTTGCAGTACACTTATTGACCCATGTTAATGCCCTTTTAGATTCTCATTATTTTCCTGAATCTTTTTTTTAAACGAAATTCAGACAGCATATGCCCGAAATTCGTCCATCCAGAAATTGTTTCTATTTTCAGATGAAGTGGTTTCTCCTGAAAAAAAGTCTGCCAACTATGTTCCAATTTGTTAAAAATCTTAACAGAATGATACTGCCAATAAGTATTTAAAGTGGCACTGTCACTACCTGGGCAGCAAGTTGAAAATATACTGTATGATGCATAGGCATGCGTACGGGGTGTGTGTGTGTGTGTATGTATGTGTATATATGTATATATATATATATATATATATATATATATATATATATATATATATATATATATATATATATATATATATACGCGGCGTGTGTGTTTCTTCTTTATTGTGCACACCCTTATACAATAGGCTGCGCACGCCTATGGTATGATGTGCAATCAATTAGGTGTTGATAACTATGTGACCTGGACACCTTTTAAAAGACGTAGTTGGAATTGTCTATTAAATCCTTTGCTCATTTCTATTAGCCCTATACAAAATATTGCAGTGGGGTGTGGTGTGAAATAGAGGCACAGTGGATGCCATCTTGTTTAGTGGGGTCTTGGGAACTGTAGTTTATTTGTGGATAGATTGATTCTATACTGCCTGGAAACTCAATATTGCCAGCAGGGAAGGTTTATCATTCCTGTACTGTACTCTTGATACTATCTGGCTCTTTCTTGCCAGCCAACTGTCATGGAGTAACAGCCCAATTAAGAGAGCTGCATAGGTGAGCAAAGTGAGCAGGGGGTCCACATTAAGCGATTACCTCTGGGGTCAGTCTGATTTACAAATAGTTTGGCTTCTGTAATGACACAAGATGAGTTGAAACCAGCTTGAGAACTGGGTGAGGACCCACCAAAGGGTCACCATGTTTTTTCTATGTTCTACATAATTATCATATTTATTGACATACATACAGGTAGACGTGATACCAACTAAGACCGCACAGTTACAGAGACATTAAAAAAGTATTTTAGAATTATAGAATAGTTAAAGGAACAATACAGCCAGTGGTAGTAGTGAGCACCTTAACACCTTCCCAAAGTAAGTAATCAAACCCTTTAAGAATGATTTGACAACTTGCCTAGGGTCTGCCAGGCATGTGTCACCACTTCTCGTGGAGCTGGAAACTTCTGCAAGAAGCTTCAATTAACTCAGCTGAGCCAAGCCCTGCAATGCAAGACTAGGAGCGTCTGGGTCCACCAGGAGTAGCTCAGTGCAGGAGCTTCAGGTTTGACTGCTTACACTGGGAGGACACCAGAAGGAGATCCTCCTTCTCCTACAGAGCGCCACAATTGTGGAACGACCTCCTGCACACTTTAAAATCTTCCCCAGGGGGCGTGGCCTAGCATCTGAACCGCATGGACGCAAGTCTGTGAGGCTCCTGAACCTGGAGTAGCAAAGGAGCGAAAACAATCGGACTACAAGCAATTTAATGCACGGAAAACAAAACGACACTAGCTAATATGTCACAAAGACAAAAAAACTAATCTGCCAAGGCAGACAGGGCATCCTTCTTCCTCACCAAGACTGCGCTCAGGGCGCGGGAAGGCCACAGCCCGACCAAAGATGGCGGAGCCTTAGGCACTGGAGACGAATCAGTTTCACCGCCTGCCTCCCCGAGCTCGATGTCGGATGAGAGACCGCTAACTGCAACGTCTATGCGTCTGATGATGGCGGAATTCGCAGAAAGTATACAAACCACGCTGAAAAAGCAAATTACTACATTATCCACAGACCTCTGTAAAGAGCTTCATGAAGTGGGTCAACGCACTTCCCATGTGGAGAAAAAAATGGATGAATTTGCCGAAGCCCACAACAGCCTTGCGGACAAGCTTCAAGAGCTTGAAACAACCCTTCAAGACCACAAGCTGAAAATGGCGGACATGGAGGACCGGGCTCGGAGGAACAACCTACGCATCAGAGGGATCCCCGAGACGGTCCTCCCCTCTGCACTCACCACTTACCTGCTGGAATTTTTCCAGGCCCTCCAGCCTGAGACTCAACCCGACCACCTCCTCATCGACAGGGCCCATCGGCTTAGACGCCCTCCACACTTACCCAACACCGCAGCCAGAGATGTTATTGTCCGGGTGCACTTCTTTCACGCAAAGGAGAGCCTAATGCGAGCCTGCAGGACGGTGGGAATACCCGAACCCTACCAATAGTTAAAGATCTTCTCAGACCTCTCAGCCGCGACTCTCCTCTTCAGAAAGAGCATGTCACCAATCGCGACCGCACTACGGGCGCAAGGAGTAATGTATCGATGGGGTTTCCCCGCAAAGCTACTTAACTATAAAGACACGCTACATGGAATCTCGTCACTCGCAACAGGCATGGAGAAGATCAAGGCCTGGGGCCTAATACCACCAGGGACCGCAACAGAACGCTCACGCGACATACCGCGGATGGACCCGGAGTGGACTCTCACCTGAGGCGGCCTGACCGCAGCAAGTATAACGCTAACACAAATGAACTGAAAATTCACCCACTAATATACTAATGTATTATCGTTATTGTTACACATACACTGTTATTCCCCCATCGAGCCAGGTTACTACTAGACCCCTGGTTATTACCTATCAGTTATCCTTAATTATTACTAAGTAGACATCTCTAACTTTGCCAGGCCCACCTACTACCCCCTCTCACAGGCCCAGTGCTCGAGGAGCCTTAAGGGCCAGAAGGACATTCCCCTAGCTATATGGAGGAATAGGCTAAACACCAAGCCCAGCAATGGGGGAAGATGGGTGGGTAAGCCCGAACCCCCTGATACCACCGTCTCCTGCGGGGGGAAGAAAGAGAAAAAAAATATTTCCTCACATGTCTCTACAAATGTAGAAAGAACTTATCAACTGGCACACTGTCAAGCTCCAGAGCTCCAAACTGCTCCTCTACTCCATGGTGGGCACCCGTTACTGCACCGTTGCTCACCTCCATGCCCCCAGGCATTGGAGGCCAATGTATTGGCGCCACTCGGTTCAAGTTAGGTGAACCCAGTTGGGTATCTTACCCACTCTCTCCCCCCCACACCCAACCCACCCCCCTCTCCCCGGTTATGCATTCACCCTCCAACCGATGCAGCATCACTAATAGCCTTTAAAATCTCGTTAATACAGAGGCAATATACACCCCATCCACAATTGGGAATAGACCTCGACCGACCCAAGCACGGGATGGGAGCTCGACCAAGGCCCTTAAAGAACCCTACTGTAATTACACTCTGAAGTATGAAAATTATTACCTATAATGTTAAAGGGTTGAACACCCCTAATAAACGGAGGCTCCTGATCAAGGAACTCCAGAAAAACAATATAGACGTGGCTTGCATACAGGAAACCCACTTTAAAAAAGGACACACACCGACCCTATTCACTAAACACTTCCCAACTCAATACCATGCACTGTCAGATAGTAAGTGTAACGGACCGTTTTGCACACAAGGGGTAAAAACCGTTTAGGCGATCGGCCCCCTTTCCAGAGATACAGGCACAGCTACTGCAGAACACCAAACTCCCAAACTGGATACAAAATAGCACTCCAACTCCCGAACTGGAACCTCCCAAATAGCTGCTAGCAGGCGAACAGGAAAAGCAGACAATCAGCTTACACTCCTGGCAATCAGTCTCTAACAGCATACAGTGAATCCCCCCAAGAGCGAGACAAGGCTCCGTGTTGAGGGTCAAGCAGTGGTCTGAGGTGCTGGCACACCCAGCCTGGTTTTTATTACAGTCTTGCAAATACAGGACCGCCCACAGGGAGGTATAAAACAACCAATCACATCACAGTTACATCCCACATATCCCCTCCCCTTATCCTGAGAGGAAACTCAATTACACATACAGTTAAAACATACTTTCTACCCAACTTTCATAACTCTAAAGCCATACATCACATTCACATAAATTACATATTCACAATCAATCCATTCAGGGGAACAACATATTAAAAAATGGCATGAATCAGACCAGGGGTTCAAAAGTTAGTAAA